TTTTTATCATTCAATGTTTTTATTAATTCATTACGATCATTCGTTTTTTTGTTTGTTTTTGACTTTTAATATAATCCCGGTACTTTCGTTTTATGCTGCTATATTGAATAAGATTTTGTTGTGTTCGGTATCGTTTAAATTTAATTAGTTTTGCTTGTACTTGTTTTTTAAAGCAACGACAGTCGTTATCCAACCAACTATTATTTTGATTATTCGTTGAGAACTTACGTATATGTTCACGTTTCGTATTGTATTTAAGTTCTATGCTTACATTTTCAAACATTTGATAAAGAATTGAGACAACCACATCTTCATCACTTAGCGCTTGGTTATATTCAGAATTAAGGTTGACAATAAACTCACTTGACCATCTTGTAATAAATGTTTGAAAATAATTATCTTTCCAAATACACCTATTGGGAATTTGTAAACCATGGTGAGTATTTTCCTTTGTGGTTTGTATATTACCGCTATTTCCAGCCTTTACAAATTCAATTACAAAATTTATTGGCATATGGTCACATTCAACCCTGTTCTCAATATTCATAAATGTAATAATATTAAAATAATTTACATTCGTCAATACATAATCCACTACACTTTTTCCCTGATAATTTATGAATGTGAAGGCTTTGGATAATTCTCTGCATATCCTGCCATTAACAATTCTTAACTTAGTTTAATAACAGAAATTTAATAATTCTTTATCATATCTATTTACCACTTTATCTTCATTATTTCTACACGGTAATTCTATGTCTACATTATACACCTCTCTGTCCCAGTCAGCCGGGCACTCATCGTTAGTAAAATATTCATTTTCATTCCCTGTTCTACCATTAAAATCACCCATTACGATGATTTTATCTTCCTTAAAATATGAGCTAAAGTATGGATAATTTTTCAAATAAACTGTCATTGACAGAATATTGTGAGCCAGTTGGATGGCGGTGCACAATAGCCACGATTATATGGTCTGGATAGTTAAAATCGATTTTGATGCGAAGCCAAATAATATTTTCGGATGAACTAGGTAATACTTCAAAAAAATAAAGTGATTTAAAATAGAAGAATATTCCTCCGGAGTTCCGTCTGGTATTTGAGAGTTTACTTTTCAGTTTCCAAAAACATTCATAACCATTTATAATTTTTGCTTCGTTATACTCACTCCATGTTTCAATCAAACTTATGAAATCAAAATTTTGTAAATATGACACTAAATTAATATCGTTATAATTTTATCAATAAATCCGTGTATATTCCAGCAAAGAAAATTCAATTTTCTGATAGAGGTGTTGTCATCATTTATTATCATTTATATGTTATCATTACCATCGTCTTTTGTGTTATTATTGTGTTTATCTTTACTATTTTTTTTATCATTATCTTCATTATCAATAGTTGTATTATCATTATATTTACTATCCTTATCATCGCCGTTACTGTTATCGTAATTAGCAGTATGATCATAATTAATTAGTAGTGTTTTAATATCATCCCAAAAGACTATAGAATTCAAGTGGAATTCAATCAGGGCCAGGGATTTATTACGACTCACATTCAAGATAGCCTCTTTACATTCAGATTCAGTAAGAATCCCATCACAGATTAATGCTTCATTTATACTCATCAATACTTGGAACTATTACATCAGCTATATATTATCAATTTCGTTTAAATCTATATCCCCAGAAGAGTATAGATTAGATTAGATTAACCCAACCTTTTCATTGAGGATATTCTCATTAGATCTCACCATTGCACCTTTTTTTTTTTACTTATCTCATATGTTTTTGCTCCATTTTTATTTTTTCTAAAACGAGAAAATAAGCATCAAACCACTTTGCCATTGAACGTATTTTTGCACCATTTGTTTCATTGGCAAATATATTTCCTAAATCTAAGTAGTTATTCTTATATAAACATTGTTGATCATTTGGATTTTCTGCATGTATATTTTCCAACTTTAAAATATGTTTTCTAGAGGTTTTTTCCTCTGGGATGTTTTCTAAAGCTATAATTTTGCCGTAAGACCTTGCAAACTCTTTATTTTTTACTTTTGACAAGTCCCATTTTAGCCTCCAGTATCTATCATCTTTATCTTTTATTGAATTTTCAATTACGATTATGACTCTACTTTGGAAAAACGGATCTTGTGACACAGATACTTTCATCTTCCAAGTACCAGGTCCTTGTTTTTCAGTATTTAAATTAACTTTAAGAAAAAAATTGGTGGTTTGAGTAAATCGATGGTCTTATATCAGATTTAATAATACTATTTTTTCCAATAATTCTTTGCTAATTAGTAAAAAATCCAACCTGCTGTACTTTGGTGGGTTTATTCTTCTCCAAGTAAATTTAAGCTTATCGGGAAACGTTCCCCGCCAAATATCACTCAGATGATTTTTTTTACAGAAATTATAAAGATCAGAAGAAGAGCTATCCAAGTTTGTTCTTGCAGAACATCCTTTTTTATCAGTATTATTCGAAAACACACAATTAAAGTCTCCTCCAATTATTAAATTTTTATATAGACCATGTTGTGAGATCCATGAACAAGATCCTTTAAAAACTGCGACCTCTTGGTTGGAACAAATATTTGGAGAATAATATGTTAACAATTGTAAAGGCATTATTATTTACAGTATCTCTAAATTAATTAATAATTTTCTACCATCATGGTCTATATGCCACTTTTTGGCGAAAAATATATAATGTCTGGAGAACTTTGTATGATCGGAAATGCAAAAAAAGAAGGAGGGAAGAAGGAGAAGGATGGGAAAGAGAATGTTTATCCAGTACCCGACCGAGTTACATTTTCTCGCAATTCACATTGGCGGATCTGGGAGGAGGGGATCATTGGTCTTGACCCCTCCCTTGTGCAACAAAAAAAAGGGGAAAAAGAAAAGGATTCTAGACCTACCTTTTCAGGACCCGTGAGCTGATTTTTTTTTTTTTTTTTTTTTGCTATTAGAAAATTAGAATTTTGAAGAACATAAAATTCATTAAAACACACTTCAAATGTCGGGAAAGCTCAATTCCCGCCATCTAGGAATTAAAATTTTCCCGGGGGAGAACCCCCGGACCACCCTTTCTTTTTGGGATTTATCGATTCATGGAAACAAAATTACGCATGCAACTACTCATTTGTTTATGTATGTATACACACATAAAATAAAAAATGAGAAAA